ACGTAGGTTATAGCGTACACCTTCGTCAGTACCGAGATGTGGGAAAGAATTGGATGTTTGTATTCTCAGAAACGCCTTTATACAGAGAATTTCAGGTTAAAGCCAGATCCTATATGACACGTAGGTTATAGAGTACACCTTCGTCGGTACCGAGATGTGGGAAAGAATTGGGTGTTTGTATTCTCAGAAACACCTTTTTACAGAGAAATTCAGGTTAAAGCCAGATCCTATATGACACGTAGGTTATAGAGTACACCTTCGTCAGTACCGAGATGTGGGAAAGAATTGGGTGTTCGTATTCTCAGAAACACCTTTTTACAGAGAAATTCAGGTTAAAGCCAGATCCTATATGACACGTAGGTTATAGAGTACACCTTCGTCAGTACCGAGATGTGGGAAAGAATTGGGTGTTTGTATTCTCAGAAACACCTTTATACAGAGAATTTCAGGTTAAAGCCAGATCCTATATGACACGTAGGTTATAGAGTATACCTTCGTCGGTATCGAGATGTGGGGAAAGAATTTAGTGTTTGTAGCCTCAAAAACACCTTTATACAGAGAATTTCAGGTTAAAGCCAGATCCTATATGACACGTTATGATTTTGATTTTTGACGTAACAAATAAATTGAATTAAATTATTACCTTAACATGTTAATTAAATCTCTATGTGTGAACATAAAACTGTTCTCTGCCTGTATGTAAGCATTATTATGATTTACTATATATATATATATAGGAAATATTTAAAATTATGATTAACTTCCACTTGTGTGGTTGTTGCTTAATATTGTGTTATTAACCCTTACCGTAATCCTGATGTGTAAATGAATTAAATAGAACTGATAATAATTAGACCTCACTTACTTAATATAGTTCATACCATAACAGCTGTTGTTCATGCAACTGATGTTATAAATAGCGCCTAGACCATTATTACGTCTGTTGTATCCCAGCCGGCTTGATGATGGTACTGGGATTCTGCCCACTTGTTGGCACTCGATAGAGCAGATATAATTGGGTTGACATGCTATTACATATTGTTCTTTGCCTTCACTCATAAGTCTCCCAGTAGCTCACAAGTCTTACGACTCTAAAACTTTGGTTTCGATACCCGTGGTGGGAAAATCAAAGCCCGTTGTGTAGCTTTATACTTAACAACAACCAAACCAAATCACTCATAAGTTCTTAAAATTGTATGGTTGTTGCTAAAATGAGAATGACCATTATTATTTGTTTTTATAGATTCGGGAGTTGAAACGTTTTTATGACCGTGGCTTTAGTTTCAGGCAATAGATATAAGAGATAATTTCCAGTATGCACACGAAATGACTAAGATATTTGTATTCATAGCAAAGCTAGTTAGGCTATCTGTTTATATTGAACTACAGACCAGATGGAATACAGCCAGTCCTACCACCATCATCTACGCTAAGAGATTGACTGTCACTCTTATAACGCACCCACAACTTTTAAAGTGCGGGGAATATTTTGTGTTATAGCACAGACTCGAAACCGGTTCGCTAACTCTGTAATCCAGATCTCTACCACAGGGCCAACCCGCGCCCAATTAAAATACAAACAATTAGTTGTACATTTTTTGTCAAACTGAATTACATTTATGAGCCTGTAGATTCATTACCATATTTTAAATTAGCTGAAAGCAATTTATCACATATTTCCTAAGGGACCTCACCTGAAGTACAAACTAAAATCGCCTGAAAAAAGTCTTCCTATTTCATACAATAAATTAAAGTTAAATTTGAAAAAAAGTACACTTTCGGTTTCATTATTATTTTTTTTTACGTATGTAATATACAATTAACTATTCCAAAGTTGTACATATTAATATGACTTATACCACAGGCTTAGACTTTTATTTTGTTAAAGTATGTCAACATGTATGCATTAAAGGTGGCCTTTTCATAAGATAAACATTTGCGAGAATTTTTCTTTCACTAATATTTCAGTATTACTTAACTTAATAAGGTGAATGAGTTTATTAATTGTAATCAGGAGTTCAACTTTTGTATTTGATGAATTTGGTGAGTAAGGATACGAACAAGCTTAAAGTTTACAAGAGATTATAAATTCGTAACCTAAAAACGTTGCTATATATATATGTGTGTGTGTGTGTGTATTTAAATATATATATATATATTAATGAACCATATTAAATCATTCGAATTGCAAAATAATAATGTTTCATAATGTATATTTCAAAGAAAAGATGTTAAAATATCAAGTTGACACATATTCAATGTTTAGTCATGTAATTGTAGTGTTAAATTGTCTAACTTAAACACACAGAAATAACGTATAAAAATAACTTGATAAACTTCATATTCAACATCTAGATCTTATTCTTGTGCTTACTTTACGGAAATGAGTATCATTATAAAATATATATTTAAAAAATTAGCTCGAAATACTTTGAAAACGTAAGTAATTTTTCTATTCTTTTGAGAACTGACTATTGTTATGTTCAGTTATTGATGAGAAGGAAATAACAAATATTTTTAAAATCACAACTGTTTCAAAATTGGAAATGATATAAAATAAAGCATTTACAAAACAGTGACAATAATACAAATAATACTTAATATGCAAATGACAAATGTTTGGGAATACAAGGAAGCAGCTGAAAATGTCTAGATTTTCAGTTGTGTAGCCTGCAATTTCTCAGCTGGAAATGTCTAGATTTTCAGTTGTGTAGCCTGCAATTCCTCACGTTCTAAAGTATTGTTGGCTAACAGGTATATTCTTAAAATCTGACCCCCAGTGTCACAGCGGTAAGTTTGAAAACTTATAACGCTAAAAACTGGGTTTCGATACCATTAGCGGAAACAGCAAAGATAGCCCATTGTATAGCTTTTGTGCTTAAAAAACAAATAAAACTAAAACTTTTTTTAAACAGTCGGAGACTTTTAAACGTAACACGTAACCAATGTGTCTTTTATATAAATTATACAATAAAATAATTAAGTGACTCTTTACTTTGTTCCTCAGGGGTCCGCAGTAAGTTTACTGACTCACAAAGCTGAAATCCGGAATTCTAGTTCTCGCGGTGGACAGAGTGCAGTTTACCTATCGCGTGGCTTTGCACTAAGAGTGCACTTTACCCATCGCGTAGCTTTGCACTAAGAAAACACAATGAATATCTACTTAAGCATTCATATTTGTTCTCAACTGTGTATCCAGTTAATAAAATATTAACAGAAAGAATTAGGACTAATGAGACGCTCTAACCCATCTTAGGAAATGTATCTCCCTAAAGTTCCTGATAAAATGTCTCGGCATTATTGTGTCCTCATGTTTTATACGTGCATCATATATTTAATAGCAAATACTTTATAAAACGTAATTTTTACTCGGGTTTTGAAAACATCTATGAATTTGAACAAAAGAAAGCCAACTTGTTAGACCTTGTATACAAAGGTATATATATTTATAACTCCAACAAATATGAAAAATATTTAAAACTTAGAAACTAAAAACATGTTTACTTATCCTAAAATGTGACCTTTTAACGATAACAAAACATGTTTATTATTTTCAGTAGAAAAGTAAAATACTTTTTTTTTATTCATCTACGCAAACAAGGAATAGAAAAAAAAAACACTTTATTATCCGACCACAAACTTCTAAATAAGCGATACTACTAGTTACATAAGTTCAGATTTGTCTAAATACCACTGCTATATTCTAAATTCAAATATTACATGATTTTTACACACTGTACTACGTTCGATGTATTACAATTCCATTTCATAATCGGATCGGTCCCTATGAATTCAGTACGATCATTATCGGATAGATACACAGAATAACTATATTCATACTTACTTCTCTGTAACTCAATTCAGTATATGTAAAAAAGCATTATTCAAATTCAGCTATTCTTAAGCAATGGTTTATAAAGAAAAATAGCAAAATTCCTATCATACATATGACTATCAAAATATTGTGTTATCACAAAAGATAATAGTCTCTCAAAACCGAATGTACGTATATATATATATATATATATATATATATACACATACATTCGGTTTTGAGAGACTATTATCTTTTGT